CACCTTACAAGTATGACAGTAGTTTTGTTTTATTTGGCTCCTTGATTTCATACTGATGACAATACCTTGTTGTGTAGGCACTTATGAGCAGCTTTCATCTAAGGAAGTCTGTGGTGGCGCAGAAGAAGAGGATACAGGATGTGTCTAAGGTGAACAGTAGCTTGCGCTAGAAAGAGGCAGCAGCCCGGAAGGCCGAGCAAGAGTTTTAGCAGCGTTTGAGAGATAGCGAGCGTGAGTTGGAGAAATTGAGGTGTGAGTTGGTCGAGAAGGCCGCAGAGATCGAGTCTCTTAGGGAGCAATGTATTTCCATCGCTGATGACGCTATCATAAAGGCCCGAGGTGAACTCATGCTTAAGTTCAAGGAAGGGAAGACCTCTCACTGGGATCCGGACGAAGACATCCAGCTCATGCGAGAGATGCTGGAAGAGGGAGACGGTCATCTGGAGGGGCAGGACGAGGATCAGATGCCTGATTTTGCTAGTCAGTCGGGGCCGTCAGATGTTGGGGATGCGAGTGACCGGGCTGCTAGGACGAGTGCTGGCGATGCGGACGTGATGACCGAGTTGGAGATGGAGGAGGCGACTCGTACTGCGGATACTTAGCTTAGTTTTTCCTTTATGTACTTTGGGCCTGCGATGCCCTTTTTCTTGGCGTGTGTGCCGTTTTTTGTATTCTAAACTGAGCCATTTCAGGTTGTATGTATTATACTCGATTGTTCTAACTTCTGATGCTTTCTTCATGGATGAGTGAGTTGTTCATTGTTTATTTACATGTAGATGCACCAAGTTGTGTTTGTTACTTTAGTGTGGCCCAGCGGCTAAGGCATGTAGGCCTTATGTTGGGCTAGGTTGGTGCTTTGTTTATTGCAGGTGTAAGAACCATTCACTCAGTTTGGCCGACCGAGTACGAAGTCTTGGATTGACAGAAGTCAATCCAGAGGTGTGAATTCTTGGGTCGGATAGGGCCGACTCGAAGGTGTGAATAGTAGATCGGGCTGAGCCGATTTGATGATGTAATTTCATGGATCGGACGGGGCCGATCGAAGGTGATTTTGTGAACCGAGAGGGCTTAATTCAAAGGTGTTTTTGTGAACCGAGCGAGGTCGATTTGAAGGTGTTTTTGTGAATCGAGCGGGGTCGATTTGAAGGTGTTGTTGGCAAGTCGGGCAGGGTTGATCTGAAGGTGTTATTGTGAATCGATCAAGGCCGATTTGAAGGTGCAAAATTATGGATCGGGCAGGGCCAATCTGAATGTGTAATCGTGAATCGAGCAGGATCGATTCAAAGGTGCAATTTCATGGATCGGGCATGGCCGATCTGAAGGTGTAATCGTGAATCGAGCAAGGTCGATTCGAAGGTGCAATTTCGTGGATTAGGCATGGCCAAACTGAAGGTGTTCCAAATAATTGATCGACTGGAGTTGATTTGTAGACGAAAAATTTCTGAATAATACTTCATTAATATTTGGCCATGAGGCCGACTATTTAAGAGGAGGTGAATAGGCCCACTCATCCCTTTAAAATAAAAAAGAAAAACAGGAAAAAGATAAGTTCACCTAGAAATAGTAGCTTTTGAGGTGAACGGCATTCCAACTGTTACTGATGTCTTTGCCCTCGATGGCTTGGAGTTTATAAGCACCCTTCCCTGCTTCTTTAGTTACCCTGTAGGGGCCTTTCTAAGTGGGACCGAGTTTGTCAGAGTTGATCTCCTTGGTGTTTTGGAAGACCTTACGGAGGACCCAGTCGCCTATCTTGAAAGTGCGGATCCTCACGTTGCGGTTGTAGTGACGGGAGGCCTGTTGCTGGTAGACTGTGTTACGGATGCTTGCCCATTCGCGCAGCTCGTCGGTGGTGTCCAGGTTTTGGCAAAGGTTCTGACTGTTTGATTCTTCATCCGTCCATTGGAGTCTAGTGGACGGGACTGATACTTCGGCTGGGATGACCGCTTCCGAACCGTATGTGAGGGAGAAGGGTGTCTCGCCCGTTGATGAGCGAGGCGTGGTTCGATATGACCAAACGACTTCGGTAGTTCATCTGCCCATGCACCCTTAGCTTTCAGTAATCGCTTCTTTAATGTCTGAATGATGATCTTGTTTGATAACTCGGCCTGGCCGTTAGATTGGGGGTTGAGAAGCTCAGTTTTACTTCCCACATCTCACAGAAATCCTTGAAGCCTGAACTGATGAACTGGGATCCATTGTCGGTGACAATCTCCTTCCGTATGCCGAACCCGCAGATAACATTCTTCCAGATGAAGGCTTTTACCTCTTGGTCTCTGACTTGTGCGAAGGCTTCGACTTCAATCCACTTGGTAAAGTAGTCTGTCACAGCTAACATGAAGACTCGCTATTCGGGTGCAGTCGGTAGTTTTCCCACGATGTCCATTCCCTACTTCATAAAGGGCCAGGGTGTGAGGATGGAATGAAGTCGCTCTAGTGGGAGGTGTGAGACATGAGCAAACCTTTGACAACTGTCGCACTTCTTTACATAAGTGGCCGAATCGGTGCGTATGGTCAGCCAGTAATATCCAGTAGTAATCACTCGGTGTGCAAGGCTGCGTCCCCCAGCATGGTTTCCAAATTCGCCTTCATGTAGCTCGACAAGGACACGTTGAGCCTCTTCTGGGCTTGTGCACTTGAGATAGGTGCCCGAGAATGATTTTCTGAGGAGTTGGCCTTCATGTATGGTGAATCTGGCAGCTCTTGCTTTTAGTCGTCGTGACTCGTTCTTATTGGCTGGGAGTTCGTCATGTTCCAAGTATCTCATTATGGGAGTCATCCAACAGTCGGCTTGTTCAACACCCATAGCTTCCTCGAGCGGCTTGTTTGGTTGTTGTTCCTTCCAGTTGGCGGGCCACTACATGAATAATAGAGGGATGGATGACTGGAAAGAATATTTGAGGGCTGAACCGAGGTTGGCAAGGGCATCAGCGTAGGAGTTCTCTGCTCTGGGGATTTGGACGATGGAGAACTCATCGAATTGGGCCTGCAACTCCTTGACCATGCTCAAGTAGGATGTCATCTTTGAGTCGCGTGTTTGTACGTGCCTTGCAGTTGATTGACCATGAGCTGGGAATCAGACTTCATCTCTAGTCTCTTTGCTCCAATTTCTTTAGCTAAGGAAAGTCCAACTATGAGGGCCTCATATTCGGCTTCGTTGTTTTTACACTTGAACCCATACCGTATTGCCCACTAGATCATGTCTCCTTCTGGCTCAATCAGTACTAATCCGAGTCCGCTTCCATTTACGTTAATCGAGCCATCCACTAAGAGAGTCCACTTGGAGGGTGGTCCGCCATTCATGCATAACAACTCACTCTCTGCTTGGGTGGTGGTATTCGGGGTGAAATTAGCAATGAAGTCAGCTAACGCCTGGGACTTGACGGTGGTGCGAGGCTGGTATGATATGTCAAACTCACTGAGCTTTACCGTCCACTGCAGGAGTCGGCCTGATAGCTTTGGTTTGTGCAGTATTTTCTTGAGCGGGAAGGAGGTGAGTACAACTATTGAGTGACACTGAAAGTATGGCCTGAGCTTTTTGGATGCATGGATGAGGGCGAGGGCTAATTTTTCCAGCTGACTGTACTATTTTTTCGCGTCAAGGAGTGACTTGCTTACATAGTAGACTGGCAACTGCTTCGTTTCTTCTTCCCGAACAAGTACTGCTGAGATGGCTGTCTTTGAGACCGCTATGTAAGAGTAGAGTTTCTCCCCGTCCATAGGTTTGGAGAGGAGCAGAAGGGAGGTCAAGTACCTTTTCAGCTGTTGCAAGGCTTCTTTGCAGGAGGCTATCCACTGAAACTTCTTGGTCTTCTTGAGAGCATGAAAGAAGAGATGGCACTTGTCGGCTGATCTGGAGATGAAGCAGCTCAAGGCGGCCACCCATCCTGCCAGGCGTTGGACGTCTTTGATACAAGTCGGAGACGGTATGCTAAGGATTGCTCTGATTTGGTTGGGGTTGGCTTCTATCCCTCGCTGAGTCACCATGTAGCCCAAGAACTTACCTGACGAGACCCTGAATGAGCACTTGGCAGGATTTAGCTTCATGTTGTACTTCCTGAGGACAGCGAATGCCTGGCTGAGGTGGTCGAGGTGTTGTTCGGCTATCAGTGACTTGACGAGCATGTCGTCGATGTATACCTCCATGGTGTCTCCGAGGTACTCGACGAACATCTTGTTGACCAGCCGCTGGTAGGTAGCCCCGACGTTCTTGAGACCGAATGGCATCACCTTATAGAAATAAATCCCCCTCTCCGTGATAAAGGCTGTCTTCTCCTGGTCGTCCGGGTGCATCAAGATCTGGTTGTATCCTGAGAAGGCATCCATGAAACTAAGGAGCTCGTGACCTGCGGTCGCATCAATCATCATGTCGATATGTGGGAGCGGGAAGGAGTCTTTAGGGCAGGCTTTATTTAAGTCCGTGAAATCGATGCACACTATCCACTTCCCGTTCTTTTTCTTTACGACCACGACATTCGTCAACCATTCGGGGTAGTGGACCTCTTTGATCATACCATTGCTGAGTAGCTTCTCGACCTCTTCATTAACAATTCGATTACGCTCTGGTGCGAATTTCCTTCTCTTTTGCTTCACTAGTAGGTGATCTGGATCTACCTTGAGCTGGTGGACCATTGCTTCTGGACTGACTCCGGTCATGTCGACATGAGACTAGGCGAAACAATCTTGGTTTTGTTTGAGGAATTCTATCAGCTTTTCTCTTGTCTCGGGCTTGAGGCGGGACCCCATGTGCGTCTTTCTCTTGGGGTCATTCAGATGTATCTGTACTTCATCCAACTCTTCCATAGATGGTTGATCCGGCTCTGTCGAAAGGGTTGGATGAGACTGTAATTGCTATAAAGAGTTACCCTGCCTTTGAAGGCGTTCTTGTAGCAATCTCTGGAAGTTTTGGGGTCGCCCTTGACCTCTTGTACCCCTCACTTGGTTGAAAACCTGATCGTCTGGTGGAAGGTAGATGGGACTGCCCGCATGTCGTGGATCCAAGGTCAGCCCAAGATGACGTTGTAGGATGAGGGGCAGTCGATTACCAGAAAAATGGTCTGTTTGTTCACTCCGCCGGCGTCGATAGGGAGGATGATCTCCCTGATAGTATACTTCTGCTCAGAGCTGAAACCAACTAGCAGTGTCGGCCGCCTGTTGATGTTTGCCTCTTCCAGTCCCATAGCCTTCACTGCTTTGAGGAATATGAGGTTTGCTGAAGAGCCTCCATCTACGAATACTCTTTTCACTAGGATGTTAGCGATCTGCAGGGAGACGACTAGAGCATCATGATGAGGAGCGGCCAAGGTGACCGGCTCGTCATCTTCAAATTGAATTACCTGATGGGTGTGTGACCGTGAGACCGAATGGATGGACTGGACTTCATGGTGGTGGTTGGTTCTGGCATATTGCTTGGCTGATGAATAACTTACCCCACTGATCTCTGATCCTCCGAAGATGAGCGAACATAATCCTTTTGGTGTGGGTTCTCGTGGAGGTGGTAATGGTTCTTTTGAACTTTTGTGGCTAATGGTGTTCTTCCCTTTATCAGTTAGCAAATCTCGGAGATGTCCCCTCTTTAGAAGTGCAGCGACCTCTAGCCGCAAAGCAATGCAGTCTGCGGTGTTGTGCCCATGATCACCGTGAAACTCGCACCATTTAGTCTTGTCTCTCCTTGCCTCGGGGTTGAGCTTGCTTGGCCACTTAACGGTGGATCCCATTCCTTTCATAATCGCGACGACTTGGGTTGGTTCGACATTAAGGCTGTACTCCGGTATTTTGTACCAGTTCGATCTGAACTGTCTGCTCTCAATTCTCATTGGCTGGCAATCATACGGTTTTTTGACTCTACTTGAACTTCGTGCTGGGGGTTGGTGGCGGTGCTTCGCTGGCCTGTGCTCTGGCTTCCTGTCATTCCGCCTTGAATCGTATCTGGAATGAATTGTCCGGTTTATCTCATCCTCCTCCCATCTTATCTGGATCACTGCCCGGGCCAGGGCGTCTTCCATTGTGGTGCAACCCAGCTTTGTAAGTTCTTTGTATAGTTCTCTGTCCGGGAAGAGACCTTTCCTAAAGGCATCTACGGTTGTCTCAGGGTTGCATGCAGGGATGGAGATCTTCTCTTTGTTGAACCTGCTGACATACTCTCTCAGTGGCTTGCCCCTTCTCTAGTATACTCTGTATAGGTCGGCCGATAGCTTCTCGAGTTTCTTGCTGCTGGCGAACTGTTCTATAAAGGTGTCAGTGAGTTGGGCAAATGAGTTGATGGATCTGTTCGGGAGATTCGTGTACCATTGGAGTGCCGGGCTGGATAAGCTCGAACCGAAACTTTTGCACATGCAAGCTTCCCTCAGCGGTCGGGGTATTGAGATGGTGAACATCCGCTGCTCGTGCGAGGCTATGTGATCATCCGGGTCGGTTGTGTTAGTGTATATTAGTGTATGCCCTAGAAACCATTCGTGTTGTCGGTTTCAGAGTATTTTGTCTTGTATCTATATATATCATAAATAATAGAAGAAAGAGTTCTTCAATTCATATATGTAAATTGCTTCCTTTATTCAGTCATGCATTTAAAATAAAGTATGTATATGAATTGTCCAGATGATTCATTTAATAGGTAAATGAATTATCGAAAAAGGTTCCCTGCGGAAGCAATATAAATTTGGGCAACTATATTGTACAGTAGGCATACCGGATGCTTCCGAAAGATATCATGAGTTGATATAAGTACGGATGACGATGATAGTCATGTCACTAGGGCATTGGTATGGATTAACGGTTGGTGAACTGTTTTTCGAACGTGACCGAATAACGACAAATCACTTGGAAAAGCATGTAGTCAATGATTTATCGTTTGGTTATATCAGTGCACGATGTAGTCCTTTGACCTGAGACATTGTAGTCGGATCCGATATGGATGCGTATGGTTCATACGGTGTATAAGTACGAGACTAATCATGTTTCGTACAATAAAGCCTATTTGGTCATGCGTTGTTCATATGCGGAAACGAACGATGGTCAAGAGGGGATCCATTGACTCGGAAATATAGGATCGGGAGTACCGCTGACTCCATCCGGATTCGAGTTCCTAGACGAACATCGATAAATGTCGGAAAACTGAATCTCTGGCCAGAGTCTATTATTAGTCATACAAAAGTAAGTTTGTGATGACAAGTTCCGGACATATTGATCGACAATTCGGTAGAAGATCGAGTTTAGGATTTTGACGTTCCATGAATCCATACTCGATTAGGATATCTCAATGGAGGGACTTTACCTGCATGGTACGTATGATCTGAAATGGGTTCGATGAAGTATTTCTTCATCGTGGTTTAGGGACTATGGCACATTGCTAGATGTTTACCATAGTCGTTGGGCCTCCGGACGGGTTTCCGGATTCATCCAGAACCGGCTCACGGCTAATCCACGGTGGACCTACATGGTCACACCAATAGCCTTGAGAAGTTAGAGAATGATGAGAGAGAGAAATGATTATCCGAAGAGGGCTAGCACCTTCCGAGGGTAATAACGGGATTTCTATAGTAATAGTTACATAGAAAACAATTTGTGACATTTTAAGGGTTAAAATGGTCAAGCAATAATTAATTATATTTAATTATTATATCTTAAAGTGTTAAGATTAATGAGATGAACAAAAATAACCTTTTAATAGTTAAAGGGTAAAAAGGGTAAATTTATGGGTTGTTAATGTAAACTAGTTTAGTTTACATGGGCCCTTGAATAATATTGATTATTCAAAGGGTAGCATATTAAATTCGTGGGGTCCCTTTATAAAATAAGATTTTATTGGGCTTGGAAGTGAAAAATAAATAATTGCAAAATAGCCCAAGTATATATAAGTGCAAAAGGTTGCATTTTTGTTCATTATTCACTTGTTCACTCAAACACAAACTAAAAGCTCTCTCTCCCTAGCCAAGGCCACTCTCTAATCCTCTCAAGGTGGTGTTAAAGTGTGGAGGTTTCATCCTTTTGAAGCTAATCTTCATCAATCCAAAGCAAAGGAGTAGGTATAATCTCATATCCAAGCTTTGCATGTAAACCGTTTTTTTTTTAATCCATGCTTTCATGCTTTCATTCTCCATCTCCACCACTCTTCATGCATGCTGAATCTTTCAGGTTGTGCTGTCGTACAGTTTCATGTTGGGAATGGTAAACTTCTGAAGCATGTCGGCTAGGGCGATCTCATCCATGAAGGTTGAATCCGCGTAATAGTGGGGTCTGCTCTTCTTGGTTGGGACCAGTATTCCTGGGATGCGTCTCATCACTACTTCGACATCGGCCACTCTCTTGGCTAGTACTTATTCCATAGGAGAAGGGGGCGCCATTAGGTCATCCCGCTTGACCGGGTCGGCCTTTGCAATTGTCTTCGGCACATTCCGTTGGACCGTCCTGCGCAGGGTGATTTGGTGATTCATTGCTTCGTGCACACCCTGGTAGCCTGGATCTTCGTTCATTCCTTCTAGTTGGATGACTCCCATGGTAATAGTTCTGGTGTTTTGCCCTACATGAATGGTCAGTGGAGTCGTCTAGTAGTCACTCGGTCCGTCAGGATGGATGGGCTCGAGTGCTATGGTTTGTTGGGTTTGGCCGTTCAACCCATGGGGGTAAGCCGAGCCGAATTGGGTTTGTGTTGGGAAGGTTGACTAGACGTAAGGTGGGACGGAAATAATGAGTTGGTCTTGCAGGTTTGGGCTTTCTGTCACTAGACTGTCTTGATCTTGAGGCTGGGATGGGTCGGTTGAATGGTGTTCTGTTGGTGTATCTTTATCTCCATGTGTCAGGACAGAATCGTCGACCGTCGATGAGTTTAACTTTCATGGCCTTTTGTCAGAGACTGGGGGTTAGTGCTCTGGTGTGTGGAGAGGTTGCATGGATGGAACAGGGGCATGAAACCGATTGGGGGGTGCCTGGCCAGGCAGGAACTCTAGATCATAGAATTGACTCACCTTCTCCTTAAGAGACTGGTTTTCTACCCTGATGGATGCATTTTCGGTCTAGATTGCATTATTCTCGGCTTTCACTGTGGCTACCTTATCCGAGTTCTGTTGCATAAAGGCGGTCAGAGCCTCCAGTTTGGCCTCGAGGCCGGGGTCAACGTTGTCGGAGTTTTCAGCCATGGAAAGCTCCTCTACGTAGCAAGGTTCATTGAGCCGAATGATTGCTAGAGGCCCCACGGTGGACGCCAAACTGTAGACGTAAAAATCTACCTGTACGAAAGGGGAATCTGATCCCGTGAGATTGAGGCCACTAGCGATCCGTTGTACCTGCACACGTAGAGAAACAAACTCGTGAAGCAAACAGGAAACACCGGGGTGGTGTTTTCCGTAGGCACTCTGACGCTCAAGTCAGCAAGACTGAAAGAGGCTTAGTATAGTGAGGGCTAGGGAGTAAAGAGGTTACCGGAAGTCTAGTCGGGGACTGTGACTATGGTGGTGATGTGAAGCTCTCAAGTAGGAGCTTCGGGTGTGAAGGTGTAATGTAATATGTCCTTTGTGAGAGGGTTGGCCTTTGTTTATATAGCGACTGTCTGGTCTCCCAATCCTGGTGGGAGTAGGAGTCCTAGTGTGACTCTGATGCAAACCCTAGAAAAGTTTGGGCGGTGGTGAGCTGTCTTACCTGCGTCCGAATAGGAAGATGATCCGAACAGGAAAACCACTTCGAATAGGAGATTGATCAGGAACAGGAAAGTGATCAGTGGGGGCCGTGGGCTTTGAACTCGCCTATAGGCCCAGAAAGTGGACTGGAACTGGGAGGCCCGTGCCCAGATGGTTTCGGCATGCCGTATCTCGTATCGAATTGGACTAATCTGGCTTAGGCCTCTTTGGGATTGGGCCTGGTCTCTTCTTCACTGGTGGTACTGTTTTCCTATTTGGGCCAAGGACGATTTTTGGCCCTAACAAAAACTCCTTAAGAAATCGCATTGCTAGTTGAGAACGTGATGGCTCAGTTAGAGGCCGTGGCTGAAGAAGATGCTGAATTTAACAGATAGAATAAACCTGCCATTAATAAACTCAAGAAGTTGTCTTTTCTCACCGAGGTTCTCTCAAAGTAAGCAACTTCTCGACCTTCTTTGGTTTTGTTCATAGTATGTACTTTATCATGCATATAGCTTAACATGCATTTGACGAACTATGGAATGCACAAATTCCTTGATTCATGCTGGTTGTGATCAATGAGCAATTCTCTCATTCAATCAATCCATAATTTATGTGATTGATTGAATAATTATATTTAATTGTATTCATTGTTTTCCATTTTTACAATTACAAAAAGTGTATAAATTAGCACTGTACAGTTTTATACAATAATGAAATATACATAAATCTTTTCCTCTTTTCTCTTCTCTCAGCATACTTTGGCAGTATCAACATCCTGAACTGCTACTCTTTGCCTCTTCATATCAATTCCTTACATGGTATTAGAGCCATAATCTTCACGCTTCCGCACAAACAAGCCTCTCTTTTCTGTCCTTGAAATCAAATAGAAAACTTGTTTTAGTGTTGTATTTTTCTGCAAATGGCAGATAATCCAAACCCAACTCAAACTCAATCAAATACAGCAAACCAAACAAATGCCAATCCAACTCCAACCGGCCTAGACCCAAACTAAACCAGTCCACTCCCAACCAGTTCAATCCCAATCGGCCCAAACACACAAACCAGGCCTGACCCAGCCTGTTACCCATATGGAATGCCAGGTTATGACTCGGATTCTTTTACCCGCACCAACCTCGACCCAACTCCTCTTGGAATACCGAGTCACAACCCGGAATCTGTTTCTCAAACGGTTATGGATCCAAATCCCTTCCCATACCCATTTCGCTTCATCCCAGCCACCAGCAACAGTCGCCCTAAACCAGGCGATGTTTTGTTTTCGCCGGTTTCCAATGGACTAGAATTGGTCCTCATCAAACAAACCCTTATAGGTTCAGACAGTTATGCATCCTGGGCTCGCGATTTCTGGTGAGCTCTCATCGCAAACGACAAAA